CCTGTAGATTTATGCACTTTTAACTTTTGAATAGTAATTTTTATCTGAAATATTTCTGTATGTATTTTTTTAACACTACAGTTTCTCTCTATTGTTTAAACACATTTCCTGGTACTTGAGACAAAATGGCAACATGTAACTCATGAACCAACCAAGACTGCTAAATTACCAGCACAATTCCTGCTTTACTTTTAAATTAACTTTCTAAAACACTTTTTTCTAAACATTATATACAATCCTTTTGGCACATTTTACATTAAGAAAATCTGGTTTTCACCAGTAACACTTTCATTCATAATTCTAACGTTAATTTCCCCACTACACAGTCTGACTCATCATCACACAGTTTTACATTTAGCAGTCAGAACTTTAGCTTGTGGACAGTAGGTGAGCTCTTCTGTTTTGCAGCAGTGGATGCCAACATTAAAAACAGAGGAAGAGTCAGATGAGTGACAGTAAGAGGAGGAGGAAGGCCAAAGATTGTGATCTCTGATGAGATCCAAGCTTTAAATCATCATGTTGAAGTGTTTTTTGTCCTTTATAATATTTTACATTGAGAACATCAGTGTTCAACTTATAAATGTCTGTTCATATGATTGTTTGAGCGTGTCATCTGAAAACAAAATACCATTTTGAGAAGAAACAGCATTGCTTTGAATAAAGTTTTATTTTGCAGGTTTTGCCCGTTGTGTGTAATTTTTGATAGAGTTCTGGGAGTACAAAGCATGCTTTCAGAATGTGTAAATAAATAGAGAAAAACTAGCAAACAAAATTCTTAGATCTCAACTTGTAATGTGGGATTTCCTCCAGTAGATGGCAGCATAAAGCTAAAGAACTCTCGCTGCAGTCTGATGGGTTGTTCTGCTCAATTGGGCAAATGGGATTAGTTAAAATTGTAAATTATAATTGCATCTCAGGTTTATTAATATTGATAAAAACTTACTTAGACACAGTGATAGTATGTATTTAACACGTAAAGGTGTCACATTGATTACCCTATTAAAAATAGCTGAGCTCTTGTTTTTAGTTTTACTCTGTGAGATTAGGAAATGCACCACTGGATGGACGAAGTCCTGAATGTTATGGAGTCCAGCTGGTCACACTGACCTTTCTTTTTTTTCCTGACATGATGCAACATAATGCAAAAGAACACCAGACAAAGCTGCAGGATTTTTGTCCGAGTTCATATTGTTTATTTCACAAGATGGAGTGGATTCGTTTTAAACATTTATGGTAATGAAAGTAACATTCTTTGAAGGAGTGAAAATTGCTCGTCACCTTGTGTGACCTTTTCGAGGTGGGTGTATGTGTTGAGAGTGGACTCTCGGCTCCTTGAGCTCTGATTTGAATGTTGCCATTAACAATTGGAATCAACTGTGCAGATTTTACTGTAACTCTCAGAAAGTATGATGCATATCTACAGCTGAACAACTTTTAGAGTCGGTCTTATTCGAGATGGCCACCACAGCTAATTCACATTAACAAACACAAAAATGGCTCTAACTCAGTCAGTTTCACAAATATTGAACTGAAGTTTGCTTTGGTAGTTGAGAGTTACACATTCTGTGAGGGCTACACTTTGCAAGATCTCCCATCATTATCAACTAGATTAAGCCACAAAGTGCGAAATAGGAAAAATATTTGCAATAATTGCATTTTTTTTCAAAATATAATGAATAAAGTGCCGTGTCCTTTGAGTGAAATGTCTTAAATAGAACCTTAAATAAGTTTTTAGAAGCACTTTTTTAACAAGTAGTTACGGAAAATTTTTTTTATTTTGAGCAGAAAAGTCTTCATTTTACATTTTCCCTGCATATTAACAAAGATTTTCCTTTTTCAACCTTGTAAATCTCAATATCCAAATATTGTTTCCTTTCTTTTTCATGTACAGTTCCCTGAGACAACGTATGTTGTGACTTGGCTCTATATAAATAAAATAAAATGAATTGAATTGAATTTTTAAAGTGACTTCCATTTTAGAATAACTTAAAAATAGGATTTAGACAAAATATTACTCAACATGTGATATCAGGACGATCCATCAAAATGTAGCTTAAAAATATTAGGAATGTGAAAATGTACTGATGTCATTTTGACCAAATTTGACTTCATCTTCATTTTGATGTGATGGGTCACGTATTCATTTACAAGGTTTGACCAAAACAGCTTTAACTTCATACTTTCTCAATATAAAATTATCTTAGTTTTATTAACTGAGTTATAGTCATTTTAATGTTTATGGTAGCTCTCCTGACAGATGTTTTACTCATTTTCCTTTCTCTTTAATTAAAAAGAATAGTTTATTAAACTAATTTACCATTTAATGTGTCTGAAACAGGTATTTTTTTCTGTGAAACAACAACAACAACAAAAAAGACAATACTGTCGTGATATAAACAAACAGTCTGCATTGAATGAAATACTTTGCCTAGGATTAATTTACTAAAGGAATAAATGTTTTAAAGCTCTGGGTAATGAAAAGAAAAAAAATTAGAGGTCTTTTTACAAAGAGGATGTGAAAGGTGTGCTTAAGACGGCGGCTCTTGAAACGACTTTAGAAAGTTTTTTGTGGGCATGTAGCCGTGGCTGAGCAGTGATGCAGTGTGTCAAATCAGACGGTGTATCTGGAGGCTGGAAGTGAGTGATGATTCATTTTGAGGACTCTGAGACCAAAGTGAGCTAAAGAGGATTGTTTTTCTGAGTCTCTTTAATTGCCTCTGCAGTGTGGGTGAGCTCGTTTACGTATTCATTTGACGCACACACTTTTAATTCGATCAAACCGATGCAATATGTCTTTTGCTTCTGCTGATCCAGTTTGTGTCTAATCTCATCCACATAAACTGGATCAGCATGACTTCTGCTGTCAAAGCACTGAGGAAGTCTCTGAGCTTCAGGCGCCTCAGGCAGGAAGAGACTGAGCTGCAGGCCCGCGGGTCTGTGTCTGCAAACTGTGCTCGCACAGAAAAGTCTGTGTACATTACATCTTTACATGACAAAGTCATCACACCCTTTAAACAAAAAAAGAAGGATGTTTTTACAGAGGCTGAGCGGCTGACTGTGGAAAATAAAAAATGACAGAAAGCCAGACGTTTTGTGTGATTTCCCACCACTTTTACTGCGACTCTGTGGCAGTTCAGCTCTGCAGGAAACCCTGCCCTTCTCTGCTCGCGTACATCCACACTCACAGCAAGAACACAGAAGGAATCTGTACGCAGACATCTGCAGTGGAC